TGAAACACCTTTGGTGCAGACGCGATGTTTCGTTGAAACTAAAGGGTCGTGTACACTGCACCAGTGTGCGATCAGTTCTGCTCTGTGTTTGCGAGACCCTAAATTTGCGCGTGGAAGATATTCGTCGTCTAGTAGTAATAGACTGCCGATGTTTACGTAGTTTGGCGCAGGTTGGATGGAGCGAGTTTGTAAACAACCCTGAGGTAAGTTGTCGCGTATTTGGTAATGATTCCATAGAGAATGCGTTGTCCCATCCAATTCAGATTAGTCGAATTCCCTGGTTAGGACACGTATTGCGCATGTCCAGTTATCGTCTGCCGCACCGCGCCTTATTTGCAGTTGCGGCTCCAGGTTGGAAGAAACTGCGTACAGGTCAGCAGATGACGTGGAAACGAGGCATGAAGAAATGCACAGAGCGATTGGATAGAATCGGTGTCTCCCGTCTTCCAGGTTGGGATCCAAAAGACTCTACAACCGGCTGGTTGGAGACACTGAAGGATACGGTGACTAACCGACAGCACGCGTTCTTGTTATCGTTTCTTATCAGGTCAGAATGCTTGAAATGAATGTATGCGTAGTTCGATTGTGTACTTCTTGTGTTGACCATAGAGGTTCTTTTTCTTTGCCTCCTTCCAATTAGGTCCCATCCCTTTCCATCTTGTACTTTATCATTTGATTTGTGTACATTGTGAGCTTGGCAACGATCAATGAAGTTGGTTTCACTGTATCTCGCTATACGATGATGATAACCCGGGTATGCATGTGATCATTTCGGGATGAACTTTCCGAGCATGTGGCAAGTATCATTATCTGCAGGTCTAGTTCGTGTATCCCGGTTCCCCGCAATGTGGGCTGTCGCCTGTTTGACTACGTTTAACCAAGTTCTGTTGGAGGCTACAGAACCCGTCTTTTGCAGCGTTGTCAGATGGCAGCTTCGGGGCATACAATGCGATGAACGAAAAGTTTTCTCGACATTTAATTGTAGAAGAAACTGACTCTCGTAAAGTAACTGTTTTGGTGGCTCGAGTAATCACAGCGAGAGCTTATTCACGAAGAGTTTTCCGTTGATCCGCTATGATATATTCAGTAGTTGTTAGACTGCGGGCACTGTGCTCCTGAATATCCACCTGTCGGAGTTCATAAAGCATATACTTGACTTTAATTCGTCTAGAGCATGGGTTGGGCGGGCAATATCAACGCTTAATTTGTTTTTGTTTTTTTTATTACACAAAGTGAATTACAGTAAACAGTGAGATCCCCATGAGCAAACAGCATACTGTAAAGGGGAGAGTAAAAGAA